CAGCTTGTTACAGTTTTTGTACTCTCAGATCGGTCTGACGTCACAAAGGTTACGGTTAAAGCGAGCACAGCCTGTCTCAGATTTGACGACCATCAGATTCATTTCCAGGTTTTTCTCTTTCTGTTCAGATCAGGAAAGAGAAACGAAGATTACCCTCGTGGACACCTGAGGAGTAAAGAGGTTCTCACTATCCTTTAACTATAACCTTCACCGCCAGGGGGCAGCATTTCACCAGTGAGAGCGATTCATGAAAAAGTTTCGTGGGCAGGAGTTTCCCACCCTTACTTTGGAGTTCCTGAACAGCCCGTCACCAGGTCGGTCTAACGCGGACAGTTATGAGTCCACGATGTGACTATTTCTTCTTTTAAAGGCTGAAAACGTTCAAACCAGAGACCACCAGACCTTCTCACTGTGAGACAATCTGCTGCCACACCAGCAGCAGTCTGTCCACACTCTGTTCATGGTGTCAGTAAAATTTGCAACAAAGAAAAAGAGACGCTTACAGAAACTGAGGGTGTGCAGTGACGTCCACCGTGACCCCTGACCCTGCAGAGGTCATACAGCTGCTTTAACACAACATCAGACTTTCAGCAACACGATCAATGAGCACGCTGACTTTCAGGGTAATGAACAGAAATCTTTGGCAGTTTGAAAAGCAGGAAAACATTTTCACATCATCTGACATTTAATAAACTAATAATGCAGAAATCTTTCACTCTGGTCCAGTTTTCCGGCAGCGCCTGGTGCTGTCGATCATGTACAAAGGCACAGGCGGTCCAGTTTCCTTCTTCATCTCCTACTGTCCTTTTCTCCAAACCTCCTCTCCAGAAATATAAGTGGCTTTGACGTTGAGGCCGTCATCGAGCAGAACGAGGTCTATAAAGAAAAGTGCAGAGTGTAAGAAAGACAGGAGGCAGCGCTGCTGAGAGAAAGGAATCAGAAGACGATGTTACAACGACGGTGGAAAGTTGGAGTTCTGTCGGAGACGGTTTCCTCCTGAACATCTGGACGAGCGTCGATGCTTTGAAGGATCAGTTAAACTGTAAGTCTCACAAATTCAGCCTGAATCGAGCCGCTGGCCTCGCTTAAAGGGAAGCACATGAACTCCAGGAAAGGTCAGAGCACGGCGGCGTGACCCCAGAGAACCTCACGGCTACAGCCGTTAAACTTTAATCCAACGCCGTTGACCTTTGAAGCGCTGCACAACTGACAATGTGCAAGACGGAGGCTAAATATTCACTCAACATTCATGTGGTTATTTTATTTACTCTTATTAAAACTTTTATTGTAAATCTGAAACAGAGCGAGTTTAACATGGGAGTCTATGGAGACTGGCCCCCTGCTGGACACTAGAGGAACTGCAGGCTTTGGTCAACTGTTAACAGCCCAAATTAACATCCAAGAAAACGCTGAGGACACAAAGGAGGACCTACAGCAGCTCTAACAGCAGGGATGCAGAAACAAAGATGCAGTCGGCTCTGACCTGCGTCGGAGCCGTAGTCCAGCTTTCCCTTTTTGGGGCTGATTCCCAGAAGCTGAGCCGGATGCAGGGAGGCAGCTTCCAGAGCCTCCTGCACACTGCAGCCTGGAGGACAGAGCAGGAAGTGAAGAGCAATGATGATCCGACCTGCATCGCCACAGCAACCAGGTCTCACCCGCTGGAGTTTACACGAGGCAGCGCGTCACTGCTCGTTATGATTCTACTTCCTGGTTTTAGTCATTAAAGTAACACAAACCTGAGGCCTGCTTGAAGTGGCGCACACACATGTCCATCGTGGCGATGCTGCCACTCAACGTCTTGGTGCCTGAACACATAAAGAGTGAAGTTACAGAGTTTTACACATGAAACCGTCACGAGAACGATTTATTTTACTGCGTTTGCTCCTTCCTGCAGCATCGCTCAGGAAACCACGGCCTGTTAGATAATAACGTCTGAGGAACATCAGACCTGCCACGTAGGCGTGGAGACCCTGGATCTCGATGACCTGCTGGCCAAGAGTGTGACGGCCGGGAGGAAGACCCATCGCGGTGATGGCGTCCGTCACCAGCACCAGACCTGAAAGTATGAAGCACACAAGACACGGCAAAGTCCAAAACCCATCTACTCCCAGGTGATGCCGCACGTTTAAACACGTTTGCAGACT